TTTGGTTTCCAAAGCCATATGGGTTTAAAGCCACAAATAATTTTCTGCTTTTACCTCTACATTTTTATTAAAATCTTGAGTTGCAGTAATCCTATGATACTATTCACCACACTCGAATAAGCACCCCTGGCCCGTGACGTTTTCCCTACCTCAAGGACAGATGATTTAGTTTAATAATTTATAACGGGACGGTTGGAACTACTGCACACCTGCGAGTTGTGCGAGGAGCTGAGGAAGTTAGGATCGCAGCCACTGCACAAGCTAGGATTTCCACAGGACATCACCCAAAACCATAATACTTGTTGTACTGTTTAGCGCACTTTTCTTTAGATTAGTTCTTATAAGAGAAATATTATACAGTCCCTAAGGCAAAAGTGTTTGTGAGTCTGCTTAGTCAGATATCTCCCATTTTCTCAAACACTTTTGTCTAGGGACCGTAATTAACTGAAGAGTAGCCACACCCTAATTGAGATGCACAGACTGGTGGGCATTTAAGGAACTCCCTAGAGCAGAATTTTTTTTGTAATTTAGGACCAGGAGTGAGTGACTGGTTGGTGAGGCTGTTTTTGCCCAGTTTGCCTCACAGCGCTGCAAGTTTAGGGTCTCACAACCAACCCCAAATCACTGACACCCAAATCTCTCTCACAATCACTACACTTTTTACGTCCTCCACCTCTTCTCATTTATTTCTCTCCTCCTCCCTCGCGCTTCTTCCTCCCTCCCAATCCACCCTTCCACAAAAGCCCCCTCTTAGACACTCATCTTCTCTCCTCTTGAAGTCAACTTTCTATCAAAGGTTTTTATTCCCCCGGAGCCAATACCAGATACTAAAACAAACATAAAAATTTCCCTTCGCCACCTTGCGTGTATTGTTGCTAATAGAATCCTTGCAAAGTTTAGGAATCGATGAGTTCTAAAAAGCGTCAAGCCTTTTATAATAAAGTTGACAACTCTCGGGTCACCAAGGATCACCCTACCCCCACCTCCGTGGCACATGACGGGCCTTCAAGTAGGTTGAGGAGTAGGCAAAGTCTCTCACACGAAGAACCAGCTACCAGTCTCAAGGAAGTCCAAAATACCCCACCTCCAGAGCCAGCCTGGAAGCAGAATTTTGAAGTTGTTGTTTGGGAGCGCACTCCAATGCAGATTCCTGTTGAGATTCAACAGAAGCGGAAAAATTCCTTCAGTGAGACAATCATCGATAGATGGCCTATTGCGGTTGCCCGTGAAGCGATTGAGCAAGAAATTGCACTTCACGCACGCGGGTTGCATACTAGAGATGGTGCCAGTAGTTCGGAGAAAGAGATTGTTTCTAAGATGAAGTGGGCTAATAGGCTCTTGAGAGAGGGTTATTGGGCTTTTGTTCAGAAAGTTCCGGCCTCCCTTCCAACCCCATCCACCCGCCGTTCACAATCTTATCGCAAAGAAAATTCTGAGAAATCCAACCCTCATGGTTCGGCATGTGAGTTTCCCACCTGTGGGAGGTCTCTTCAAGGTGGCCATTACAGGATTTCCTTCGAGCCCCCTCTACACTCAGGAACCTCCTCGGGTTCAAAGGTTATCGTCGACTTGACCCAGGGCGATGACGAAGAAGAAGAGGGTAATACTTCTATTTCTAATGACGATGAAAAATACACCTTTTGTCTGGAGTGTTTCGATAAGCTTTTGATGCCCTATACACAGGGTAGAGGCAAAGCCGAACCTACCGATCCGTTTTCCCAGATACCTGCGACAAACGAGATGTTTCATCCACCTCAACCGGGATATCTTCGCCCAAGCCCGTCCTGCAGAATATATGATAGGATTCAACCGGAGACCAGACCCAAATTCAATGGATCCTTCAATTTATCGCCCAAGGAGCGAGACGCTATTAAGACCTGGAAGAGCTACAACTATAACAAAGGGCTCTCGATGATGAGTAGAAGGAATGGTTTTATGTTTGCCAGGGGGCTTGATTTTTACCAGGAAGATTGCAAGGCCAGCGGCTTGGATGGCATTGGTATTGCTGAACTCATGTCCGTTTATTTCCCAGAGAACTCGATTTCCCACCACTCCATGCAAAAAAGTGCGACCAATCGCGCCTCCGGTGAGTCGGGCCACTGAAAATTACCATAATTGGCTACAGTATGTGCAGTACGGTATTGCTCAAAATTTACCACCCTCAGTCACTTCTCAGTGGTTAACCTATTAGAGTCTGAGGGTATTTTACCTTTCCTTTCATTAGAGAGACCATCAGTCAACACCTAACCAGCGAAAAATCTGATACATGTATCCAAAACAGTTTCATGAGCTACTATTTGCTTAGTCAACACTCAAACAAATATTAGTCTAACCCGTTTCGTACTTATACTTGTGCATCCTCTTGCTTTTAACCAAAAGTAGTGACGTTGTTTCGCTCTGCCCCCAATTGTGCAATCCCACCGACCATCTTGCTCAAGTAGATTTCCAACTTACCAATTTATTGATTCTCTTTCCAGCGCACGCTATGGTAGAGTACGGTACTCGAGTACAGTACAGTACCTTTACAGAACCTGTATATCGCCGGGAGGCTAACCAATAACACCCATCGCCATAGCGATTAGCGTGATTTCCAAAAACAGTTCCGTTGGAACGACCACTCACTCCTTCTCTGCACATTCTCGCGCAGTTTGCCTCAATCTCTTAGACAACCTCTACAGCAGTCCGTAGTGTCCAAATGTGAAAACATATATATCCATGAACGCCCCCTCCCAATATCCCTTCCTCTCTAACTAACTCTCGCCTTACAAAAATTAACATAGGGAACATTGACCGCTTGAGATACACCCAAGATCATGCGCCCCTCCCATCGCTCCTTCCTTCTATTTGTCCTCGGAGAATCAGCAGCCCTCAGTGACACCAACAAATCCCCCCTCACTCGGAGCATAAAAATTACAAACAACTGCCCAGAGGGCCTCCACCCGGCCATTGTCGGCTCAGCCGGGACCCCTCTCAACGAGACAGGGTTCTACCTTGCCAGAAATGATGCCCACACAATTGTCGTTCCCTCATCCTGGGTCGGGCGTGTATGGGCACGAACAAACTGCACATTCGACAGCAACGGTCGCGGGCACTGCAGCACGGGGGATTGCGACAAAAAGTTGATGTGCGGGGCCACGAGCGGTGAAAAACCACATACGATTGCGGAGTTCACAGTGACGGGGCACAAGAATGAGACGTATTACGACATTAGCACCGTGGACGGGTACAATGTTGACATGGCAATTGTTCCCGAGGAATCGGCGGGGCCTGCCTTGTCTTGTTCGTCTAAAATAAAACAACTCCCTTTCCTCGTTCTAGCAACCACTCATTTCTTAGTTGCGCTAATATTGGTGCGAATACAGGTGTATCAAGACCCGAAAAAGGGGCCCCGCACTGGTGCCCCCACGAACTTTTGCTCATCCCTCCGAAGGAAAAGTTTAGCTCACTCTTCGATCCCGATGACGATGATTCAAAGGAGTATTTCAGCCCCTGCCACAGCGCGTGCTCAAAATGGGGTCGTGAACAGGACTGCTGCTCCGGCGAATACGACAACCCGGAGAAGTGCAAGCCAGGACTCTACTCGAAGCGCATGAAGGAAGTATGTCCCGACGCATACAGTTTTGCCTACGACGATGTCCTATCCACGTTCACGCTGCCGAGTGGACCTGGCTTTCAGGTCATATTTTGTCCAGATGGGAAGAGCTCCGCTGTGAGTAAGGGCAAGGAGGAAAAATGCGATGATCGGGAAGAACCTGCGAAGCCCCAGGTTTACCAGCCAAAGTCGGGCGCGGAGGGTTTTAGAGGCCCACGGGCCTACAGGGTCTTACTGTCCTTGCCGTTTCTGGTTTTTTTTATTATGCTCTTCATTTAATATAGGGATGTGAGGGGAGAATTCTGTAACCTTAGATAGACAGACAGGTTGACTGGTGTCGCTTTTCGGCGTGGTGTTTTGTTTCTGGTTCGTAGACTATCTCTTGGTTAACCAGTCGTGCTTAAATTCTGCTATATCGGCCACCCTTTATATATCTAAAGAAATACGTGGTCAGTGGTTTTTAGCGGCAAATTTGTGAACTAAGATCCTGTTTCTGTAAATAAGCCTGTAAATCACCCTTGTTATTTATAGTTAGTGAAGTTGAACACGATTACAATACTGGTTGTCATAGAGAACAGATATAGAGAACACTTGTAGATAATGGGGAACATAGGAGAATAGAGTATGATACTATGCTGAAAGGGGATGAATACCCCTATCACGCTAGCCCCTCTCTCCCTACACCAATCCTACTTATAGATAACATACGAGGGAGGATTGCTTTAATCCCTACAGGATCGAAAAACCATAACATACACAAATATTTGGAGCCAAGAGGTAATGCGAGTACTGTACCGCACCCAATTCCCCGTTCAAACAGAATTATAGGACATTGTGGGGGGGGGATTTGGTGAACGCAAACGGACTTGCCATTTCAGCAGCTACAATTTCTAATCACACGTACTTTACAATTCCTACCTCAGGAGGTCAGTACTACGATAATCACAATTTTTTATTCGATGGATCAATTAACCACATCACGCACTCCATTTAAAGCTCCTAGACAAGCAGCGCCCCGATAGATTTGGGATATGCGGCACTAGTGAGAATGCCCCCCACAAGGACAATGTTCAAGGATTGTCTGTCATGGCTTGGCACTCGGATACCTCCCATAGGCCTACCTGTGGCATCTCTTTCTCACCCCAGGAAGACCGAGCGAGATAGTGTTACACAGTGGGTGCGGGGAAGTTGAGGGTATTTTGGAGAAAGGCTCTTCTGGTAAGTTAGATATTCTACTGCACTTGATATTTGCCGCGGTAAAGAGGGTTCGAGAAGTCCACGAAGGCTCCACTTGGTAGGATATCCTACCGTTACCCGGCCTTCAAAGTAACTTGCCTGTCGGCGCTCCCAAAATCCAGGATGGCAAAGCCAAATCAGCGGCATCTTCCATCTTTTCAACCGACCAGAAGGCATAACACAGCATACCTTGAAAATCGCGTGATATCATATTGAATCCACCCTACTCGCAGGGTTAGGGTCAATCCGCCCCATATTCAACCCAACAGCCCACTCACCCCCGTTAAACCTCAATTTCACCCGTTCCACAACGGAAGTTGTGCAATGCTGAGTAACACCTCGGCAAATACACTTACTTCATCGTAACCCTATCACATCACACATCTCAATAAATACACGCGCGCAGCACGCACGGAAGACGCGACAATAACATTCTGAGAATAACAGGCGGTGTTCATGAAGGATGGACTTGTCGGCCAGTGCGAGCAGCATTCCGCCAAAGGACTTGCCTCCCATCGCGGCGTTGTTTGTGATTTATTTCGATATCAAGGCTGGGTGAGTGAGTGGGTTTGTGAAGAAAGGGGTGAAGAGGAATGGGGAAGAAGAGAGGGGAACAGAAAGCTAACTATGAGGTGTAGACAAACTATCATCTGGAAGAAATTTGCGCAGGGAGTCTCGCTTAGCGGGGTGGAATTTAAATCGCTGCCGAGTGGGCTGCATAATTTGGTGGAAGATTTAGTGTTTGTTTCTCCCCTTCGGAGGCAAGATCTGTAGGAGAGGGGGGTTGCTGATTGGGCGGGGGTTAGGTATTTCGTCCAAGCACCATATGCAGGTATCAGTGCTTTCATCAATACTCCTGCGGCGGAGGCAGAACGGAACGCCTGTATGCTCTCCGTCGGTGTGCTCGTTCCACTTAGCTACGGACGGCTAGGGAGGAGTTGGAGACATGCGGAGAATTTGAAGGAGCTGGCAAAGTGCGATATCCCCTCACCCCCACCCTCACTCTTCCAAGATGGTGGCACTAACGCAGGGCGTTTCGACGGTGATTCAGGAAATTTGCAGCAAACACAGAAGACCATGCACCGTTAGAAGAATACTACGAATTGAATAGGATTCATGAATCCACAGAAGCTCCTGAGTCGCCAGCGGAGTCACCGTCAAGTTTGAGGTATCGGCCTTCCTCGAGATACAAGCCTCCGTTCGATAGTTTGAACCGCCATAGCCGGACGAGGTCCATATCGGATACTACGGCTCTTGCGGCCCCCGGGCAGGCGCTGAGTCCATATCACCCTGCATTGTCACTGCCGGAGTTTGTGGATACGTTTGGGCCATTGGTTTTCCCGCTCTATAGAGCCGCGTTGACCCGACAGCGGATATTGCTTATTACTGGTGCACCAGTTGAGTTGGCTTGCAACTTTGGTTAGTTTCATCCCAAGACTTTTGAGTACATCTTGTTAATGAGACGATAGTCTACGATATATCAATCCTTTCCAACATCCCCCTCTCTGTCGCTGATCTCCTTTCCTCTGAACCCTCCCGCCTTCGTCCACTCTTTAGCATAGGAGTCCACGACATCCCATTGCTAGAAGAAGAAGCCAAACGAATACACCCAACATCCCAGCCCCCGCACGACCGCGACCACCTCGGAGGTGAGCAGGGTAGCTGGGTAGCTTGTACAACCGATGGCATCTTATACCTAAAGAATGAGCTATACGATGTAGTAGTCTCCATGCCCCCAGCACACTCCAAAAACGCAAAGAAAAAAGTCTGGCCCACAATCGAGTGTCCCGCTGGCACTCCCATAAAAGCCACACAGCGAGACCTAGCCAGATACAGAGCACTGAAAAGGTCCCTCGCGCGCTACAAAAACACCCCCCCATCCATAGACCTCTCCTCCCCAACGCAAGAAGAAGACCGCGACTCCCGCGAAGAAGAAGTCTGTGAAAAGCCCACCTGGCGCGAAATCGCCTACTCATCATTCATGTGGTGGGCCAGCGCTGGAGAAAAGCGCCGCGAGACTGAGACCGCCGCGTCTGACGAGCTCTTCTTCGAAGATAGCAAGCGGCCCAGAAGCGAAGTTCTCGACGACGCCGTCACCAACGACGAGGAAGTCCACCCGCTCCTGCCCACATCCCCGCGTCGGAACAATTCTTCGCCGTTGCCGAGATCCCACCACCGACGGAGGTCGAGCGCTTTCAGTGTTGGTGGTGCTGGTGGTGGTGCCGGCAGCGATTTAGGGAACATGGAGATGGATATCGTCGCGTACTTCCATAGACTCACAGGACGGCTAATGGCGTATCTAGCTAAGATTGTGGACGACGGGGAGGACGATGGAGGTGCTGGTGGGGATGGAGAAGCCGGGGATGGTGACGAGGTGTTTATTAGCCTTGAGGACTTGGATAAGTTGGGATTGGATCGGCATAGTGAGCTTGACGTTACCTTTGTGAAGAATATCTGCTTGCGGTACTTTGGCCGGGAGGCGGCAGTGGAGGGAGTTGCGTGGGAGTGTTGTGGGATTAGGTATTGCTAGGCAAGCTCGAGGGATCTCATTCGCTCTTTTTTTGTTTCTTTCATTCCGCTATTCTCTGATTATATGGATATACTATTCGGTGTTCTTTTCTTCTATAGTCTAGTCAAACCGGCTCGTGTACGTTATGGCATGGTATTTTATTTGTAGATGGATTTGATCAATAGGTGTCATCTCCTCTCCCCGCTTCTCTCATTCCTTCCTACCTTCAATGGTGAACAAAGCCCCCCCTATCATACACCCCCCCCCCTTTCCCTTTCCCTTCCCTTTCCTCTCCATCAATCAAGGACAAACTCTCCCCTCCTCCTCTCCCATTCTTCCTCCGTAAAGCACTTCTGCGACCAAGCATGCACTCCGGCAATCTCCTCCTTCAATGCCGCGTTCGCCGCCCGATGTCGCATCAGCGTAGTCTTGCCCTTGAACACCGGTGACCTTGACTCCCTCCATTAGCATGGGAGCTCGAGTGGAAGGGGGGGGGGGTGGGGGGTAAAGACACTATAATTGCCTCGAACATTTGGCCGCAACCACCGGAGGTGTCTTTTAAGTGGACGAAGGAGGCGGAGAGTTTGGTTGTTATGGAGGATGTTAGGGTTGCTACGGTTACGGGGGCGGTTGTATTGACGACGGCGGGTGTGGACATTTTTTAACGTCTGATGAATGGGGATGGGTGGATTTTGGACGACGACGGACACCTTTTTTTCAAAATTTGCTTTGCGGAATTGCGGGTGGGGTAAGGTATCATAGCTGTGTGTGGTGGCGGTGGTGGTGGCTTGGCGGTAGGAATCTGGTTTTGGTTGGTCGCTGGGTCGCTCGGTCGACCATTGGTTGTGGGTTGATGTTTGAGTGAGATGCTGTGAGTGAATTGTTGAAGAGTCAGAGGGGGAATGGTTTCGATCATTAGCACACCATCTGTAGGAAAGATAATTTGCCCGGAAAGCACAGATAAGATTTCCCGTTAAACCGTGAAAGAAGAAGAACGCAAACTCTCGGGGTCTACGGCCGCTGGAGGTCTAAGCTGGTTTTTTTTTTGTTTTGTTTTGGTGGATTGAGTAAGCTTAGGCCCTGCTTGGTTCTATTATCCAATATTGGCCGGATGTATTCACCCAATTCCGTGAAATAATATCATACACGAACAGATACCGGAGATCCAGAAATGAGAGCAAGGAACTCTGCCCCGTAGTTTCCCTACAGGATACAACAGCTCTTGGAATCATGAATCGACTCTCGAGCATCAAGCCCTCTCCACAGCGGATGAAGTCTCAATGATTCTATTGGAAATATACAGTAGTATATCCCGATATTATTCTGGCCCAGCCAGGATGTGTTCATATCAAAAGTCTTTTAATATCATAGGTACTCATGTTGCCAATCTAAACCGTCCCCCAATAATGACACTATTGGAGTGGATACCCTCCAGGTCTCACGGGGTGGGTGCTATAATTGATGTGTATCCCAATAAAAGTTGGAAGTCATATATTCCTAAAAAAAATATTTCTAATCGCAACCGAACAATCCCCCCTCCCCCCAACTAATAAGGAGTTTTTTTTTTTTTTTTTCGTTTTTGCCAAAATTTATGCGAAAGAAAAAAAGAAAGAAAAAAAAGTGGAGAACAGAATAGGGGCTTAATCATTCTTGGTGGAGTCAACACTTTACAAGTAAGGCCTCACACACACACACTGTACTGTACAGTACACCACCGGGGTAGGTCGGATACTCGAGCGCTGTGCGGTATAGTTAATAGACGTCGAGACTGAATACCTCTGCGGTCCGTACAAGACACAAATTTGCCTTCCCTCCACGATACCAGCACTATTCGTACTATGAGTAAAAATAAAATAAAAATTCGCTCGTGTTTTAGAGACCACAGTAGTCCGGTTATATCGCACCGTTTATCTGGAGGATGTGGAGTTGTGAGGGGTGGCCTATCCTCCCTCTCGAACCGGCATGATATCTGTTTCTTCCTATATTTCCTTGGCACCTGGGTTGGATACTCACGATTGGCCGTTGTCCTAGTAATACAGTCTTGGAGGGTTCCCGTTCCCTCCCTCCTCGGTCTACGGGAGGAGCAGACAGGCAAGGAAAAAATTTACCCACTCTCCTGGTAAGGGTCTGTGTCTCTCTCCAATTGCCTTTGGCGAATTGCTCAAAGCATACCAATTCGAGTTCCTTCCCTCGAATCGGACTCTCACAAAAAAAGGTTGCGGCAGTTCTCGCACTGTCGTCGTGGGAAGGAGTTTCTATGAGGAGGTAATGATTGCACATCACGAAATTAACTAACCACCGTTATACATTTGTTTTTCTCATTACTCATATATATATATATTTGATCTCGGCCCGGCGGTTGTAATCATGGACTGAACGTCTTGCTCGTTCCCCACCCCCCACCCTTCGATCATCAACAATATTTGTCGCGGATCCGGTGAATTGTTAAAACTCTGGAGTGTTTGAAGCAAGCGAATACTAGAGAACTAGTAGTGGTTCGCCAAGGAATTGATCTCGTATCATGGTACTTGTACTACGGTAGGAGCACCAGTTTTTTTTTCTTTTTTTCTTTTTTTCTTTTCCCCGTGGAGCGGATAGAGTTCTCAGTTCTGGTTCGGTGAGGAGTAGAGTGATTGGTCTTGATCTTGTACAAGTAGACTGGACGGGAAGTCTGGATGAACCGACCAACCAGGTTCGAGTCTGTGCTGTAGACTATGTGGAGGGTGATGGGAACTCGTAGCACAATACTGGCATACCGCATTGCCTCGCTATTGTCATGGTGCCGTAGTCTTGGTCCAGGTGCTCGCAGATTCCATTATCCATACACAGTATCCCCGTGGGTTCTGTGCGAGTACTGTACGAGTACTGCGCTCTCTCCCCGACCCCCGTCTAGAAATAGCTCAGCTCATATTACTCTTACAGTATTATGCTAGCATTCTACTCGAGCATATACATCCGGCCCGGTCCATTATTATTGTCACTCGCTAAACGACTAAGACTACAAGTACTTGTAACCTTCCAAACCCATCCAGGAGTTACAGCATCGTACCCTGCTCAGTCACCCGTTCATCTCCTTCAACACATACCAACCCTACGTATATTGTAATACCCAATCCTACCCACCGCAGCATCTACCAACGCTCCATTTGACTCGGCGCAAAAATTACTGCCGTCATCGTTCCCCTCCCCCCGTTCCAAGGGTCCGTGGGGCCCGGCCCCACGGAGCGTTTTACTTTCCGAGCAAAGTATCATGTATGCAAAAAAAAAAAAAAAAAAAAAATTGCCTCTTGCCTTGGCATTTCGAGGACGGCCTTGCATAAATCCAAGAGTGAGGGGTGGTCAAACAATCGCACGTGCGGGATTACCCCTCCGCTCCGATTTCTTACTGTGCGAATAGTTTTTAAGGTTAATTGTTTGGCCGGGTGAAACTGGGTTGTTCTCTTCTGGGTAAACAAGGCGTATATAGTACTTGTAAGGGATGGAGGGGTGGAGGTTTCCTGGTTACATTCGATAGTAATAGGAGTGGTTCGATCGATATAGCTGCTTGAAACAGGGACTTGGGGTTTCGGGGTGGGTCAGGGTTATGGTCTGTGCTACCGGTATGATATTATTATGATGGCGCTCCTGCGCAGTACGAGTACGGTGGGTCGGGAAGGGGGTTTGGGGAATGGGAAAGTTGTGCTTTTCAGTAGTTCAGCTGAGCGGTAGTAGTGTACGGTAGGTATCACAGTATCAGTATTCATAGGTGAGGAGAACTGGATGGGGAGTTTTGTGGGTAACTTGACTTGATATAGCTGGTATTTCAGTCACAATTCCTCGTTTACCCGAGCGCGATACACCACAAGGGCGCGAATACTAGTATCGTGCTTTATGTACAGTATGGTATCCAAACCAGGCACGACGTTCTAATACCTACAAGACATGAGATGACAAAGATTGTGGAATGGTTATCATACCCGGGGCTCACCAGCGTACCCTAACTTGAGTGCTTTTTCCAAGGAACCAATAATAATAGCCTTACCACCGTAGGAACTCGAATGGTTGAACCTCGCGCTTGGACGTCCAATGTCCGGAATTCCCTCTCTTAGATAGGCGAGCAAAAACACTGCGAAAACTTACTCCCTCGGCCCCAGCTCAAAATAAGAGGAAAAAAAAGAGAGCGCTAGACCTTACCAGCAAGGGCAACTTCAATTATCATACCTAAGTCGAGGCTCGGTCACCAGTATTCGAGTTCTTGTGGTGGTATCGTAGGGCCATTGATTGTTTGGGAGAGCGCTTAGGGTACTGTACTGTACAGTACGGTACGCCGACGAACTCCAGGCAAACCAGAACATCATACTCGGTTGGAATACATAAACACCCGCATCCATAGTATCATGGATGGAGTAACAAAATATAGACCTGGCACGTCCCAACACAAACGCCCGGCACGGGAGCCTCGCATTTGTTTCTGGAAAGTTTCCCCCTCCGCCGTTCCTGGAAGGTATCACAGCAGGGGGGCGCGGGTATGGGCGCAGGTACAGTACCATGCTTGCCCCAAGCCATAAGTACCCGACAACAGGGGTACATTTTGTACAGTATGGGTGCTCACACACACCCACCGATGTTTTTCCATATACCTATTTCTTCCCTTGATCCCCAACTTATGGCCCGGGACAAGCATTGTGCTGGTAAGTTACAATACTTGTACAAGCAGCGTGGGCTTCACTTGGCATGTTGTCTGCAAGGAAAAACGTTCCAACCAAACCCTGGGGGGGGGGGCAGTAGCAATAGCGATTCCATAAGGTTGACATTACTCGATTCAGCTCTCACAAACATTCCGGACCGTTGGGATGCGAAATCCCCCGGTTTCAACCCCTTTGTCAACGCGGGAGTGCCATCAGGTGAACTTTTTAACCAACAAACTAACTAATGGTTGATACTTGTATCATAGAACCAGTAACCAACCCCCCCCCTGCCAAGCCTTAGGGAGGCCAATGCTGATACCGGTATGCTTATTCACGGACCCAACAAGCACCTGACAAGGCCCGTGAGGGTTCTTCAGGGAGTGCCTCGAGACTCGTGGAGTTCGAGATGCGAGTGCAAAAAAGGGGATTAGCCTTCGGAATAGACTAGGAGGTGCAATGATGCAGCGGGACTTGCATGGAAAGGATCCAACATGGGGCTCAAACTATCTACAAGACGCCAAGATCTTGGCGTTTTAAGGTGGTTTGGGATGAGTGCTTGATGATGATGCTAGTTGATTTTCTACAGTTATCGCTTTTCTGCATTCTTCCCCTTTGGGACAATGGGGCACCTCGGTCACGGAGGGCATCGGATTTTGGGCTTTGAGTGCATGCGTTGGAGTTAGAATCACGGATCACTGATTCGGTATCACAAGGGAGAAGAGGATGCAGATGCAGAATGGAGAGGGGGAACGTGTTCCTATGGATTCTTTTTTCTCTTGAATAAATACCCATTCACTTGTCCCTCAACTTGTTTTCCACTTCCTCACTCCTCCCTCACTATCCTTCCTTCCTTCGAAGCCTCCTGTTCTTTACATTCTTAGTCCGCCTGTGGCGATTTTACTTTCAAACTTCCTTCTTTATTGTTTCTTCCGCGCAGTCCGGCACAGCGTTCTTTTAAACCTTTACGTTCTCTAGCCCCGGAGGTTTCAACCCATCATACCCTAATCTTATTATTATCGACAACATGCGCTTGCTCGCCGTTTCAGCCGTCTTGTTCCTTAACGCCGCGCTTGCAGTGCAAGCTGGTAGGTCCTCTTGAATGAAATCTAGTGTAATATCAGACTAACCTTTTGTCTCTCCAGCGCCTCTTGCCCACGCCCACCATCCGAGAGGCTTTGAGCTCGTTGCTCGTAACGGTGGCCGCGGTGGCGGTAACGATGTTGATATCGACATCGACATCGACATCGACATCGAGATTGACGACAAGAGGAGGGATTACGAACGCCGTAAAAAGAATAACCGGGATGAGTTGAACGCCCTCTTGATCCAGATCGAGATTGAGCAAGATAACAACAGGAGGGAAGAGGAGAAGAGGAGATACGACGAGAGGAAGAAACAGCAGGAAGAGGAGGAGAAACAGCAAGAGGAGGAGCTGCAGAGGTTGTTGGAGCAACTCCAACAGGAGCAGGAGAAGAAGGAGGAGGACGAAAGGAAGAAGGTGCAGGACGAACTCAAGAAGGCGGAGGAGCTGAGGAGGCAGAACCGTGATAGGTATGAAAACAAGGTGTGTTCTCACTCGCTCCATAGTACTTTACCGATCCGATTCTAACTCAACCAAGGACGTTGTTGTCGTCGTTGTCCAGATCATAGTGATTGTGGACTCCCAAGGAAACCCCTCCCCCCCGCAGCCACATACTGTAGCCAAGGTCCTCTACAAACAAGAGGGTGCTGTCGCTACTGAGACTCAATATGGTACGTTACCCTTCACTATCCCCACTCTACCTATGATACCCCAAAACCCTTACTAACAATCATCCCCCAATAGCCACTGAACCGGGGACCCTCACACTCGTCCAAACCGAAGCAGCAGCCAACGCTACCGAGGCCGCTGGTGCCACGGCAACAGAGATCACTGTTACTGATGCCACCGCTACTGAGACCGCGGCCGAGACCGCAGCCGATGGAGCTGAGGCCACCGCGACCGACACCGCAGGTGTTGAGGCAACCGGGTCTGCTCCCACCGCCGGTCCTACGGCTACGGCTACCGCGACCGCTCCCCCCACCGCCCCTACGGGCAACCCGACCGCTCCCGTAACCACCACTTCGGCAGCTACTGCTCCACCCGGAGGCACCCCCACTGCTCCCGTCGCAGTCTAAAATCAGTTTTTTTTTATATTTTTATATGACTGATGGATAAGAAAGCTATGGTACTGCTGGCACTCTACCCACACATCTAGAAGGAGTGAATATTGTCTGACGATTAAGAATGTCCCCATTTTCCATTTTCCGTTATTTCCCTTCCCTCTCTCTCCCTCTCATGCTTTCCTGGAAGGTGGTGGTCATCATGTAATTTAATAAATTATTTTCATATTATTATTTCCTTCATACACGACTCAATTCAATTTGTTGTTACTGCATTATTATAACTCTTCTTTCGTGAAGGGAGGGGAGGATGTACAGTACAGTACTGTAGTCCCCGACATGATACTTGTGGCAGGATCCCAGTAGGATATGATAGGCAGGGTAGAATAGACAGGGGTCGGCTTTAAGGTTTCACACTCAGTTACCCATCCTGTAACATGGCAACCGTTTGATCTGCATCCATTCTTAGCATCCCTGCAACTCAACCTCACCACACTTGCTCACACACACACAAATTCCACTACCGATATTCAACCCCACTACACACCGCATAACCACCCCCACCAACCCCAAAACAATGACCACAACAACCACAACAGAGCTAACCTTCCCCCTGCCGCGCACGCACAACACCACCGTCCACGCCCACTTGACACTATCAAAGAACCACATCCTTCTCCACCTAACCACCAAGACCCCCGAGGCGGCCTCTCAACCAGCCACGCTGGGGTCTTTTGTATATGCCCTCCCACCTGTCCGTACCCCGTACCCCCCAAGCCTGCTCCGCCTCGACTGATTTGTTTTCATTTTTTGTACAGACCGGCAACCACAAAAACCCCCTCTCGACCGCAATCTACGTGCGCGAGAGCACCCTCGAGACCGCTACTCGCATAGCAAAGATCCTGGCGAAGCGCACGGGGTTGCCGGTGTATGTGGGGAATTCTATGAGTTTTGCTAGCGCGGGGATGGGCGGCGGGGGTATGGAGGAGGTGGAGGGGGTTAAGGGGGTTGTTGAGGTTGTTTGCGGGGAGGTGGAGGCGTGGAGGAAGGGTGCTACGGAGGGGGGGTGAGGATGGGGAAAGTGGGTGAAGGGGGGGTGGATAGTGCGGGGTGGGTGTTTGTGGCTTGGGTAGTGGCAAGCGGATTTGGGATGGAAAAGACGAATATTTGATGGAGGGCGGTAATTTTGTGGGTAGTGGGGGTAGGGCGGAACGCCTTGAATTGTAAACGTGAAGGGTGTATTCCTGAAGAGACAAAAAATGAAGGAAATATTGTTCATCCCGTCCTGTGGGCATTGTTTCCTTTGATAGCTCAAAATACCTCGGGTTGGTCTCTGTGATTTTGTTTCACGATTTCTTGGTTCGATCCTTAGCGGCGACTCCGTAGTATCATAATACCCATAACCCATTCACCACCACACTCCCGCACACATCCTCTCGATTGTATTTGCATTTCCGCGTGTTTGGGGGGGGGGGGGGGCTTTAACTTGGTTTGGTAATATTGAGCTATCATGCTTTTCGCAAGTGAATTTGTTTAATGGCCAGGTATGATAGATAGATCTACACTTTCGTACATATTACTATTGGAAAAGCCTGCTTCCGCGACAAGCGGTATATCCCTGAATAACGCCGTTTCTCCCTTCTTCACGGATTCGATTTTTGGTATATAAGCACGGAGCATGCGCGATAAAGTCGTATCCGCATAGCAGGTGTCCTGATACAGACGCAGATCTCGTGGGAGGCGGGCATTTTGGGGTGTAAGTTAGCTGGAATATCGGTACTCCTATTGTCGTCGTGGGGTGTTTTTGTTTTGGTCAGGATTAAATTTTCATAAAAATGATAGTTTTCTAGCGTGCCGGGTGGGTTTTACTTTTTGTTTATTTTTGTTTTTATTTAAGAGCGGGAGAGAGAATAAATGGGTAACTTGGAAGCATGGCGACGTCTGTCCTTTACTGTACAGTGCTGTGCTGTGCGGGAACGATGCATAAAGGCTTAAGCCGTACTGTGCAGTACTAGTACAGTAGGCCGGCAAGACCCCACTCAAGACTTCGAGGGTAGAGGTTTTACTGATTACTTTTTGCTTACTGGTGTTTTTGCTCATTTGGATGTTTTGCATGTAAATTTTCCTTCCATTGTTCCTTACGTTCCGCCCACTTTTTGGGGTTGCCAGGTTTCTGGCGGGAGGTGAGGGTCTGTTCCTAGCAGGCAAGGAAGAAAGCGTGCGTTTTTGTTTTTCGAGGACGATACATAATAAAAAACGAATAAAATGGAAACACCACAAACAACCTGCAACCGGCTCCTGCAAATTCCTACATCCTAATACAGATAGCATACCCCTTACCGAAACGAATCTCGACAACATGTGAAAAGAAGGCGGGGTGGCGGCGAAATAATAAACGTAGTGAAGGAACGAGGGGCCCCAATCAACCCATTATAAGCGTTTAATCTTTTACGCAGTTAATAAGGAATTTAAGTGTTCGCTAAAAAACAAGACGTAATACTTACCCCGCTCTAGACTGGCGCTTGGTGGCGAAGAGGTCGTGTCCCGGCCGGGCGAGGTGTGCAAATCTCACAGTGTGTCTGGCATGAAAAACTACAGCAAGGTCAAAAATAAAATGCGAGGATAATAAACCAGAACGACTCACGGGCTAAGGAAAGGTTAACAGAGATCCTGTGAGAATGCGGTTAGTAGTAGTCAAATCATATTACTCACTTGCTATGGTGCCCAGATGATCGTGAGGCGTGCTGCATGTTAGTGGGGAAAGTAGGAAGAGGGAAGAAGATATTTACTAACGAGCTGTAACATAGTGCAAAGTAGGTATTAGCGATAGCTATCAGAAGAGATGATAGAGCTTTGCATACGAACTATGACGGGCAAGTAGTAATTTGTTAGCGCTCTGAACAGGTACGGTATGGGGGATTTGCAGTGCGTACCTTCTGTTTTGGGAAGAAAAAGGGAAATTAGTCTGGAGTTAGCAGCATTAACGAGGACCATAGCAATTGTCGGTTGTATACAATCTGTGATGACGGGGAAGATATATTAGTAAAGTAGCAATAACAAGCGATAGAGGCGTGAAGATCTGCTTACAGCCTGAAGGGAGCAAGAAGCCAGGTATCAGCAACTTTCTAGCCCAAGAGCGGTGGTGAATTCCATTCACTTACCTTCTACAACACTCAGCGAGCCAGAGGTCAGCAATTGCCTCGTCCCAGAACTGTGGTTGGTCCCGTTCACTTACCTCCTACAACACTCAGTGAGCCGGAGGTCAGCAATTGCCGAGCCCCATAACCGTGGTTTATCCCATTCACTTACCTCCTACAACACAGCGAACCAGAGGTCAGCAATTACCTTATAGCTTTAATTCAGTTGATTCAGATACGTACAAGCTACAGTACCCCCAGCTTGGTAATCAGCTATCGCCTTTATCATTAGAGCTATTATAGAATCACCTACCTCCTGTATCTCTCGCGAATCAGCAAACCCCATTCTCTTATCCACTGGTATTGGAAACGTTAACTTACACTCTATGCTCAAGTGTCAATCCGCAGTTAGCCACGATGGTTGCCCAATATTCCTAATGCAATTCACGTACTTGCTATGTCCCAAGACTCTGGTCAGCAGCACAACAGCGTACAGGAGACATGATGCAGGGATCATACTTGCCTTCTGTAACGGAAGAACAAGTTCTGGATCAGCTCTAGCTCTCTCTGATTACTGCAAGTTCACATACCGTCTGTAAAATAATATTAATTTATTAGCCACGCACTACTCATTTCAAACTGAGAGGCCTCTTCACATGCAAAATGTTATACCCCTTCCCATAGAAATAGGCTTTGACGCTCTTCTGCAATAGTCTTTTGGTGATACCCTCGTCCCCCTCGACAGCTGCTATGTTCAATGCGGTGCCGTAGAGTCTGGATCGAGCATTTAAATCTCCTCCCTCCTCCAATAGTCGGCCGACTACCGTCCCCTGCCCAAGCAATGATGCCATCATCAAATGTGTGAAATCTTTGGGGAATATATGGTACCGCCGGATGTTGAACCAATACACCTGAAACCATGTCAGACAGTGTTTAGATCCAGCTCCACAAATCAGTCGTGTAAACTCGAATAACTCCATCCCATTATCCTGCGAATCTCGAAAGTGATCTGCCCAGTGTCGCACTGCGTAATCGAGAAAGGAGTATTTCTCAAGATAATCATTAACCGCCTCCTTCGAAATCCTGCCGCGGGCGTCCATCGCTAATGGGCTGCCCGAAAACTCCTCTCGTGAGAGATAGGAAATACAGATGTCAGCAATTATAAAGTTAGAATCCTTGGGACTTAGTGTATACTGCCAATTTCCCCGGCCAGGCAAAGATCCCTTGATCAGGAACTCCCTTGCGGTTTGGTGGACGAGGTAGATCTTTGAATCAATAACCCGCACGAAAAGCCCACACCAATTTTTCACTGTTGTTTCGGGGCGGGGGTAAAGATCGCCTTGTAGGACTCTCATTGACTCATAGTCCCGTCTGACAGTAAGTGCATTGTTCATCTCAATAAGGGTCAGAGGTCTTGCAGCCGCCACTACTATATTCAGAACTCTGCGGGCCTTGTCGTGGTCTGTGCTCTTGGAAAGAATCTTGGTGTATAATTCATCAAGACTAGCCGGAGCAGTAGAGACAATGTCAATCAATTCCGCTCGGGAGCCGTCCACACTATTCCGTAATAGTTCGAGGATGAGAGAAACCCAAAGGAACGTCCGGTCAGCCGATGATCGGAGAAGCTCGCGCAAATATTCCAGGCCTCCATGGTTTCCCCAGACTAACTCGAGGTTCCGGATACCCTCATCTATAACACGGGTAACGTCAGTGATAATGGATTTGATTTCGTTCTCCCCTTTCAACCGGATTGTCGTTCCCATCGAGCTAAGTTCTATCTCAATTCTGTGGTAGGGGCGACTTGTGACAAGGAATTTCAAAGGTACATTGGAGGTCTGTGATCCAGGGAGGCAGGTTATGCGGCGGATAAGTGGAGCAAGAGTCTCTTCCTCGCACTCGTCCAAGGCATCTACCACACAGATCACATCGCCGCACCCGCCCTCAGCCACCGCCTTAGCCAAAATATCCCACAGCGTATCCACCTCCTCCGCAAACTTCTCGCCTTTAGCCTCAAATGCTTCCTCGGCATATTTGCTGAGGGGCTTTCTCTGTACAAACAGCTGGTGTAATATGGCGCAGAGAGCGAATATCGCGCTCTTCTGTTCCGTATTGTCGTCCTTAAAGAAGAAATAGCAAACCGTTGCGTTCCTTTGGCTTTCTAGGTGAGTTACGAGGAATGAAGCGGTGACAGATTTGCCGCAAGCAGGGTCCGCCGATAGCCAGAGGAGGCCTGACGCTTCTTTCTTCGACCAGTCTTGATACTTTTGATGCTCGGTGACCCAGGTGCACGTTCCCTCAGCTGGCTTAGGCACCCGATCTCGGTGCGACTTGTATCTAGACGTGTATAGGCATTGTAAGATTTTGGCACGGTTCTTGGACGGGTTCGTATCCTCGCGGTTGAAATTAATGGTGGTGTTTCCGCAGTTGGCGTTATTGGCGTGGGAGTTGCCGCTATAATTGCCTTGAATGTTGCTGTTGGATGGAGAGCTAAAATCACCGCTACTGACACTAGTTCTTAGAAGCGCTAATATATTATACAAGCAACAAGCAACATTCCCCTAGCATACCGTTGCGGCGAGGAATGATCCTCAGAGGGGGTGCTCGATAGCCGATTTCCCATCTTATCGGTTGATTCGTGAATCGGTAGAAGCTGCGAATTGACTATGTTCTTTGATGCTTGTAAAGATAATTTCCGGCTAGGTGAGAAAGAATAGAAGAACCGGAAGGGTTGGGTTAATATCACAAGTTGGGGAGCCTGAAGACGACTTTTCTCTCGGAGGGCGAGATTGTTCTTGTGAAATCCTGGAGTTCAGCTAACCCCGTACAACTTATTCTTCATCTACTCGAGTACAAGGGGGTGGAAGGAAGTAGTGCAACACCATTGCAACGGCTTCCCCCATGATCGCATCTCTGCTTCCAACCCCCTTATTGTGATATCACCTCTATCCTTCACAGACCTCCAAATCTTCCTCAAGAATCAATATGGGGGTAAAAGGAACCTGCCACAGTGAATGTAGGTAGTTTACTTAAATAAATGTACATAGGTAGTTGAGATAATAATAAGATAAAATAAAATAGAGATCAATCCAGAAAACATTGAGCAATGGCGATCGTTGACGAAGAAGCAGCAATGCTTTGAG